CTCCTGCTCTTCTCCCCTGATGGTCCTAGGGTCCTATGTTTCTGGAATGTAAGAGTAACTATTCCTCCCCTTATATTACAAAACTTCTACCTTTACAATTGTGACAGTTGCAATTAGTCATGGTAACAATTATTATTGAATTATAATCATCTTATCCCCATCTCCTTTCACCAGACCTGTCTAGACAAGATGAAAACTATTCAGTGGGAATTCTACCTTCCCTTGCATGCTCTTAAACTATACAGTCACTTCGTGCCTTTGTAGTCCCCCATTTTAGGTAGCCAATGTCTAAGTTGTCTATCCATAACAACCATGCATACAGAGAGGATAGGATGAAGACTCCTTCCCTCTCTGTTGGTGTTTTGAGCTAGTATATTCATAAGTATAGCTCGAATTCATCAAATTGTAGCAATTTACACTTGTTTCCTTTATCAGATTTTTAAAATCTTCTTCCAGTCAAGTTGTGATCATCAAGCCATTGAGGCTAGGTCATATGGGTACTATCTGCAAATTTGGACGTTCTTGTGCATCGCCCCTCACTTCCTATCAGCTGGATGCTTCACACTGAGCTCTAGCCCTCTGTGGCTATGCCCTTTTCCATAGTGTCAGGTGTCCCCAGGCCTCACCATACTTCAGACCAACCAGCCCTTCCTCGTCCCTCTCTCTTTCCCAGGTCAACAAGGGTTTATGGAACATGGTCAAACTAAGGCTATATCTTCATTTCTGCCTTTCCCCCACTTCCACTCACCAGTAAACCAATGTGGTCTCCAGCAAGCTTTACATGCCTGCTTGTGTGATCCCTTTGAATTTCAGTATTGGAGGGGGTTTTGTCCTGAAGGGAGTTGATTGCTTGCCTCGATGGCTCCCCAGCAAACAACCTACTTGTTCTTGTAGTAGCCCATCAGGCTGCCGTTTTTGTTTTTGTTTTTCATTTTGATTTTTCCTGCTGCTCTTTCTTTCAAGAAGTATCTTCTGTTCCTCTAGCTGTTACAGGTTGGTCTGCTCGTCCTTTCCAGTGGGAATGTCCCACCTTAGAATGTTCTAGATGGGGCTCAGGATTCCACGTAAGGTCCTATACACTACCAAGACTCCACAG